TTGGATCAAGTATAATGATATCTGACAGTGATTAAAATCACTATCAAAAAAAAACGCTTCGATGCAAATCTTTAGATAGTGTTTAATTTTAAAAAATTGGTGGATTATTCCAAAAGCTTCATAATCTGCTAGTTCCTTATTAATATCCTGATTAAGATAAAGTATGTCGAATGAAAAAGAGATTATTAAAAAATAGTATTTCTGATACAAAAATTGTGTTGATCCATACACTTTTCAATAAGTTATAGCATTATAAAGTTAAAAATGTAAAAAATAAAATCGAGAATTTTCACACAAAAATAGCATTCGGTAGCCATTTTCACCGTGAAGACAAACTAAAGTCCGAAATATTTTTATTCCATAATAAAGTGTATTACATAACCTTTAATTTAAGATATATACAAAAGTGTCAGACTTTTCGGAACACTTTCAAAATTTAAGTTGAAAAAGTAAATTTTTTGTGAAAAAGTTGTCATTTTAAATTCCCCCCTGTAGACAGGTAAAAAGTCAGATTTATAAAAAAAATATACCAAATGATAGTTAAAGACATCATGCATTCATAAAAAAAGAATTATATTGATCCATACATCTTTCAAAATGTTATAACATTATAAAGTTAAAAATATAAAAAAGAATTTTTTTACAAAAATCGTATTTTTTTTATCACTTTGATGTCTGTTTTTACCATGAAGATAAAATAAAGTCCGGAATTTTTTTTTTTCATAATAAAGTACATTATATTAACTTTAATTTAAGATATATATAAAAGTGTCAGACCTTCAGGAACATTTTCAAAAGTTAAGTTGAAAAAGTTGTCATTTTAAATCCCCCCCTGTGGACAGTTAAAGGATCAGATATAACAAAAAAATATACCAATTGAAAGGTAATGATATCATGCATCTATGTAAAAAAAAACTATATTGATATGTTCATTTTTAAAAAAGTTATGGCAGTTTTTAATAAAAAAAATTGAAAAAATTTAGAAAATTAGCGATTTTTAAATTTGTAATTTTTTTGGAGGTTTCCCCCATTTACGGGGAACGAGGGAAATTTTTTCAATTTTTGAGGGTAATGTCTTTGACTAAATACGATTTGTGATCTTTTGACGTATCGTTGAAAGAAATCCGTTCGGTNACTAGATACGATTTGTGATCTTTTGACGTATCGTTGAAAGAAATCCGTTCGGTGAGAGCTGAGAAAAAGTGGTAACAGACACAAAAAAAAAAAAAAACACATCTTAGTAAAACCAATACCTTCTCAGCTTCGCATCGATGCTAAAATTAAACTTGAAATAATTGTTAAAATTTTAAAAGTAAATTTTTCTATACATTTTGCTAACTATTATTACTCAAAGTCCAAAATCCGGACATATTGCAGTAACATGAATGGTAAACAGCTGTTATCAGTGTGCACTAATGTACAAAGTAGAATATACAAATGTCCATTGATGCAGTATACTGGAAAATAATAAAAGATAATTTACTTCTTATCTAGAACTGATTGCTAACTACTTCAGTCTTTATTTTTATAAATAAAACGTAGTTAGGATTTTTATCATTCGGAGTAATCACTCTAAGTAAATAATATTTTTGTTAATGAAATTTGGTAATTCCTCCAATATCTAAAAGTGTTCATGATTATTTTTTCAAATTTAGATTATTAATGAATTGATTTGGTTTTTTAATATGCCACCAAAACAAAGGAAAATTGCCATAATGGGCTATCGATCTGTCGGTAAGGTACCTTATAACTTTTCAATTTATCACTTACCAAAATTTAAATAAATATTAATATTTATACTAAAATTTATATTTTTTTTTAGGAAAGTCATCACTCAGTATTCAATTTGTAGAAGGACAATTTGTCGACTCATATGACCCAACAATAGAAAATAGTGAGTTAAATTGTTTAGTTACTACCAAATTATCTAATGTCAAGTCTTTTATAAAATTAATGTAATATATTGTGGTAGCTTTTGTTAAAACAACTAAAGTGAATAATCAAGAGTATGACCTTAAGTTGGTTGACACTGCTGGACAAGATGAGTATTCCATTCTTCCTACTCAGTATTCAATGGATATTCATGGATATGTATTAGTTTATAGTATTACATCACCAAAATCATTCGAAATTATTCAAGTTATTTATGATAAGTTATTAGATATGACTGGCAAAGTACAGTAAGTAAAAATAAGGACCAATTTTAATGTAATAATTTAAAATTGATACATATATAAATAATTAAAAACTATACTATTAAATAATTACTTAAAAAATGACTGTTAATAAAAACAATGCATACCTACTTATGTTTTAATGTTTATTCTAGATAACTAATAGTTTAATAGAAGAATTTCTGTATAAAACATAAGTATTTTATAATTTTTTGGTTAATAGTATAATACAAAAAATTATATTTTTAATTTTTTTAAATATTTTAAATATTTTCTAATCAGCACTAATTAAATTTTTATGAAAAAAAAGTTTTGTTTGAAACAAGTTGTATTTCTATTTTATTTTTTTAGTAAATATACTGAAGTTGATCTATTTATAAAACCAAGTACCTTTTTGAAATGTATTAACTGTAAAAATGTCATATTTTATGCTTATTTCAAATTGTTATACAAGTTAAAATATGTGTCTATTGAAAGGATAATGAATTAAGGGAGAGGATAGAACTAACTTTTTTTTGTTAATTATAGTTTTGCAGGATATTAATAATTTTTGAAAAAAAAAATTAAATTTTGTTTTTTATGACTGAAAATATTTTGTGAGACATAGTTAGCAAATCACCTGTAATAATTTATTTCCTTATTGTTGTTGATTAGTTACTGTAAGGTCTACTTAACGCTTAATTAATATTTTACCAAATTAAATGTACATAGTATAGGGTTTGTAGTGAACTGGTAGAGAATTTAATTAGAGTTTTCAAAATTAGTCTGTGGTAAGTGAGTACTTAAAAATTAAAGTCTTCATTTTCTACAATCACTACACTGAGAACTTTATTCCTAGTAAAATGTTAATTTTAAGGTATTAAGTAAACTTATTTTAGTATATGTATATATATTGTAAATTAATTTTTAAAGTTATGCCTAATTTTATAAAAATCGCTTAAACTCAAAGTTTTTTTTAATTATTGTTCATAACATTTTTTTTTTCAATATATTAGAATTTTAAATATATTAATGTCAAAGTATTTGTTAAGAAAAATAAAATTCATGTTTTTAAATGTTAATATTTTATTTTTCACCTTTAATGTAATTTATTATTGAATTTTATTTCATAGAAATTAATTAATTTTTCTCTAAAGGTAGAACAATTTAAAAAAAAAACATAATTCTCCTTATTTTGATAGTGTGATTCATTGTTTTGTTAATATAACACTTATTTATGATAAATAAATTTTGAAATTTTATAATAATAAAAAAAGAATATTATTAATCTTGATTATATAGCTTAAGTGTTATTGATATTTTTTAGCATACCCGTAGTACTTGTTGGCAATAAAAAAGATTTACAAATGGATCGTGTTGTTACTCAAGAAGAAGGACAAAGACTGGCTGAATCATGGAAAGCTGTATTTCTAGAAGCTTCAGCCAAACAGAATGAGGTAACTTCTAAAAAAGTTAGTAGACTTTCAATTTTTTTTTTGTTTTAACTTATTTTATTATTATTTGTAATTAATGTCATTAAGTTGTTTTTTTTTTCAATAAAACTAGATTGTGTTGTTGGAATTGACAGGTGTGTTTTTAAAAATTAATTCCTTAAAATATATTTTGAGCTTTATAATATTTTTACTCGTAGTCAATTTAAAAAAAAAATTAATTAAAATATTTATAATTGATTCTTTTACATAGTAGAGATTTTGTTTTATTTTATTTATTTTCAATGATTATTTAAATTGTTTAGTGTGTTGCTGATATTTTTCATACCATGTTGATGGAAATTGAGAAAGCTAATGGAAATGTTCAAGAAAAATCAAACTGTAGTGTTTCTTAAAATCATAAACAAATAATAATAATGACTGTTATATTGAATTATTTATGTAGCCTAATTTTATGTTGTCTTATCTCAGTGAATGAAAAATATTGTATTCTGAAATTATTGTTATAAATTATTTAATTTGCAACTAATGTGAATATTTGTTATACTTTTAGTTAAACACATACTATACTTATTTCTATTTAAATTCTTTTATGCCTCCTAAAGAACATGTTTTTTTTTTTTGAAACTTATGTTTGTTATTATATGTATTTCTTGTAAACCTATTAAGATAAAAATATTGTACAATTTATTTAATTATAACTAGTCTTTAAGACAATTTCTATTAAAAAATAAACAACTACTTTTATTAGATTAATAGTTAATCATATTTTCAGAAAATATTTGTGGACTTATAAATTATTTCATAAGTATAAAAAAAAATTAGAACTATAGATGGTTATTCTTTTATAGTTAATGACAAAAACATTTATGGTGGTTATTTGATTCAAGATTCAAATATTTTTCAACTTCTTATGATTCTAACATGCAAGAATAATTAATGGTTAAGGTTGGTAATAATCTTCCTAAAAGGATAGTTTTACTATAATAATTTTAATTTGAAATTGACTTTTCTTTACAAAATTTTAGACTTAAAATAAAAACTACCAGAGAGGTTGATTTTATCCAATACATTTTATAGACTAAATATGTTTTAAATTAATTTGAGATCAGACTATCACAATATTTTAGAGAAATAGATAGTGTGATTTTGTATTTTATTTGCACAATAGTTAATATTTTCGTTTTTAATTAGTCTTTTTTCTAGCCATCTGGTATCAGTAAAATATTAAGAAACTAATCTTAATTTATTTAATTTCTTAGGTATTTTATTTGTAGATTAATATTTATCTAAATTCAAGTAATTTAGAAAGTGCTCATACATTTCATTTAATTAATACTTATAGTAATTTGTGAAAATATATTTCACACTTTATAAAGCTTAATATGAATTAACGAAAAATACTTTGATTAACTTAAAATGGTATTTTAAACTACATTATTGCAGAACATAACAAGAGTCATAGATTAATCAAAAATCTTAGACATAATAGTTTCACAGAAATGGCTATTTGCATAATGTATATTAGTAATTTTTCTGTACAAGACCTTATCACGGTAACAGTAGTAAAGCTAAGTAATTGATTAACTAGGACCGTCAAATAATGAGATCCAACTTTTTTTAAATACTTTTTTATATGTTACATTAGAAATTAACATTATATATATAAAGTCGTTTGAAGTGATTTAATATTAACTTAAGAATAACATAGAACATATATACGAAATTTTTTAGTCAATTAATGAAAATTATAATTATTAGAAAAAAAATTGTAGTTTTAAACACTAAAAGATGGCTTAATCATTTTTTTATCCATGACAATATTATTAACCATGGTTTGTAATTTTTTATGTCTATCCATGAAATTCGCGATAAAACTTCTACTAGGGTATCTTCGTATTGTAAACATATTATACTAAACGATACATTTCCTATGATAACAAGACCTAAAGTCAGCGTTAAACTTATCATGCGTTTATTTACATTAGAAAAATTGTAAACACTGAAAATTCAAGTGTCTTTTGTGATATTGCGAATATCAAATGAACCTATTTTAAAACAAGTCGATACCAAACATATATCAGTTACTTACTGATATGAAAAAGTTTTGTTATTATATAATTTTATTGTAATCAACTACTGACAAGTGACGTAGGTATCACGACGCACTGAACAGAATTTAGTCGTTGATTTTAATAACATTATTAGTCGTACTACGTATTTAAAATATTTTATTAGGTTTCGAAGAAAATGAAGTAATAAATTAAGTTTGATTAATTATACAAAATGCCACCTAAACAAAGAAAAATTGCTATTATGGGTTATCGTTCAGTCGGTATGTATTTGATTTTTGTTTTATTGCAAAATAATAATTTAGCTTTTTTAATCAGAAAATAAAAATATATTAATAATATAAATACTTTTTAAGGTAAATCTTCTTTAAGTATCCAATTTGTTGAAGGTCAATTTGTTGACTCTTATGATCCGACTATAGAAAACAGTATGTATCTGTATCATAGTAATTAATATTTACAGTTGTTATATAAATTCATGTGTTTTTTTAGCTTTTGTTAAGACGACTAAAGTGAATAATCAAGAATATGATCTTAAGTTGGTTGATACTGCTGGACAAGATGAGTACTCCATACTCCCAACTCAATATTCAATGGATATTCATGGTTATGTGTTAGTTTATAATATATCATCACCAAAATCATTTGAAATATGTCAAATTATTTATGATAAAATATTAGATATGACTGGCAAAGTTCAGTAAGTATATATATAAAACATAATTTCATATTCAAATGTAGTTCTTAAAATAAATTAATTTTTCTTTGAGGTTAAAAGTTGATTGTGTTGATAAATTATGTCATATCAATTGGTTCTCCCTAGTATGAAAATGTAAAATTTTAATTTGTCAAATACTTAAAATGTTTGAATAATGAAAAAAAAGTTTTTTAAAATTGAACTATTAACTAAAACCAATATTTTCAACAATGTTAAATTTAGTATAAACTATAAAAAAATTAATTTATCATTATTTTTATAAAAACTTTCAAAGACTGATGTTATATTTGAAATATATATTAGTAATTATATATATATTTTTTNGACTGATGTTATATTTGAAATATATATTAGTAATTATATATATATATTTTTTTTTATTAGTGTTCCTGTAGTTTTGGTTGGTAACAAAAAAGATTTACACATGGATCGTGTTATTAGTCAAGAAGAAGGTCGAAGATTAGCAGAGTCATGGAATGCTGTATTTCTTGAAGCATCAGCAAAGCAGAATGAGGTAACAAATAAAAAAGTTAGTTGATATCCTAATTTATCTTAAATCATACATCATTTATATTTCTTCAGATATTTAAATTTTTATTTGTAACAGTTTATATTTTCAGGTTATCCAGTCAAAAATTTTCTTTTTTCAGATATTTGCTTTTATGTTATACCCTATACTTATATCATACCTATAAAATAAATTTCTTTCGATAAATTTTTATAATAGCAATTTTTGTCATATGATAGAATTTTCAACTTTGTGAGTAATTTATGGTAACTTGATGATAAGAAAATACTCAAAACGAAATAAAATATTCTTAATTTTCTCATTAATCTATTTGTAATTAACATAATTTATAATCATGATACTAACCAAGATAATAAATTTTTTTTTTTTCTTATAATTTTATAACTATTAAAAATATTAGTTAATCATGACAAAGTAATTATAAATCTATTGATTGAATATATTCTTAAATGACATTTTGATTTTACAATACAAATTTACGTTCTTTAATAAATAGTTCACTATTCTATTTTATAACATTTCTTTTTCAATTAATAGCGTGTAGCTGATATATTTCACACAATGTTGATGGAAATTGAAAAAGCTAATGGGAATGTTCAAGAAAAATCAAGTTGTTGTATACAATAAATAAATTAAGTTAATTAATCTATATTTCATAGAAGTTTATATATATAAATAAAAATATATATATAATAATAAATTTAAAAAGATATTGCGATAATCAACTGTCAATTATTATATTTTTTTTTACAAATTTTGTATATAATGTGAATATATTTTCTTTTCAATTTTTAATGTTACTTTTTTCTGCTATCTATTATACAATTTGTTTTTTTTGTTAGTGTATCATCATATTTTGTATCTGAATTGTAATGTATTTTTACACATATTTTAATAATTTACACATATAAGTATTGAATTAAAGTACTTAAATAGAATGAAATATTGGAATTATTAAATATAAATACAATATAAAATAATTAATTTTTAAAAAAGATAGTAAAATTTGTATGCAATCTGTTACTAGAGTTAGTTAACATAGTTTTAATAGTAGTTTAAATCATTAAGGAAAAACTATTGTAATTCAATGTACTAGGTTTTAGTTGGGCTATATTTTTAACAATGTAAAAAAATTATTAAAATATTAATTTTTTGTAATAGTTAAGGTATTTTTTTGTCTTTTAAACTTCATGCTATCATTTTTTAAAAAATTTATCTAGTTTGTAATGAACATTTATATAAAAATATTTGCTGTATGGGGCAAATACTTGAAAAATTATGCGAAATGAATAATTATTGGTGCTATATTTGTAGTTGTGTTGTTTACAATAATGTTTATTTGTTGTTTGTAAAAGTCTTGTACAACAAATAGGTTTGTAACTAAAAAAAAGTTCTAGCTGTGTTACTACTTTTTTTTTTCGGTTGGAATTATTATTTTTTCATGAATATTAGATAATTTCATCAAAGAAATTTTTTTAAATTTTAATGAACAATAAAAAAAAAACATTGCTATTCATATTTGACTATTTAACTAAACTATTTATTTTCCAAGCTTTAAAGAATAACATGTACGCAAATCTGTTTTTGATTAACTATATTGACTTATACTCAATAGTGTTCATTCCAAAATTCTGCTCTTTCAATCTCTCACTACATCACATGTGTTATATTTGCCAATAGTTATAAACTCTTACTACACATATCATAGTATCTTTTATAATCTTCTGTTAAAAGTTTCTATTAACATTTATATTTTCCAATAGCATTTATATTATTTTCAAAAACAAGCTGTTAGTCTAATTAATATATATAAGATCATAATCTAAAAAAAAAAAATGAAAGTATTCATTCAATGTTTTATATTTCGAAATAATACAATTATTGTATATCAATCAATGTATCTTATAAAAATAATTATTAAATCATTTATCAAAAAATTACCACATAAAAAAAAAAAAAAAAAAAAAGACTATAAGCTACTTGATAAAAGTAAAATGAAATAACTGAAAGAACTCAAATTCCATCAAACCAAATAATCTTTTATCACGTTATAGCTATCTAACAAATATTAGAGTATATAAATAAATAGAAAAATAAAATTCAATGAGTTTATATCGTAGCTTATAAAAAAAAATGAAACGTGCATTTACTACAAAATATTATATATTTTAAAATTAAGTTGAGAGTCCTGTAGATTAAATCATACATATTAATAAATATATATTAAAACTTCTTATAAAAGCAGTTTAGACCTTAGAATAACTTTTTAAATATATTACACTGAGATTGACACAAATTAAACTGTAAACATTATATTGTAATATCAATGATAAAAATTGTTACTGTTATCAATTTAATAATCCAATCATACGTTTATGTAATAAATGATTATACAATCATTTCTTTAATAATTATCATTGTAATAAATTATTATTTTTATAATTAATTGAAATAACCAAATAATGCATGTAATGTTAACTAATAAGATTTAGATTTAAGACAGATATTATCATTAAATTCACAGATGATTATTACTCAAAATTTAATAACTATATTCATTTGACAAAGATAATTTTGTAAGAAATATTAATTAATGTAAGAATTGTAATCATTTTATTTTACATTATTACTACTTTAATTTTTCTTATATTTCAAAAATTATATTATTCAACTTTCAACTTATCAAATTTTTAAACTCAATTTATATATTAATGCTTTATTATTTTAACAATTTTATTTTGAATTAAATTATCATTGTATACTTTTAATATTACTTATAAGTTAATTAACACTTTATTATCCTATAATATCACTATCATTTAATAATCATATTTCAATTTTATTCTTAAATACTAAACTTTTTATTTTACTAATAATATTATAACCTTATATTCAATTTTCATTTATATAAATAGTTTTATTGTTGTATCTTAAATTATAATCACTTTATATAACAATTACACTACATTTTCATAAGCACTTAATAATCATTTTTATATTTTATATAATTTATTATTGTACGTTCATTGTAACTATTTATAAAAAATCAAAAATCTTATTTAAAATTATGTACTTTATAATTAAGACAATTTAAACAATTATTTTTATTATTCTTGATGTGTGTCATACAAGGGCGTATGACAAAATAGAAAGGGGTGCATTTGTAATATTATGTTATCACTTATAATATTAGGATGTTATTTTTTGTACATGTATGTTACATATTATGAATTTACAAGATCATCAAAATAAGGTTCCCTTATTTAAAACACAAAATAACGAGTAAACTAGGGAGCTAAATCTGATTATTGTACAAATTTAAAGTAACGCCTATATGTAGGTTCTCAATTAAATCCAGCCAATTGCATTTAACAATTAAATAAGATCTACAGCTTATAAGATCACACTAGGGATTGCTACACTACCCTTCTCTTACTATAAAAACCAATTTTTTTCAATTAAAATCATTCCTTTCGGTAATTTAAAAATACACAAAATCTGTGACACTTAAGATTCTTACTTTCTGGGACTTAGTTTTTTTTTTATTTAATTTGGACTTAGAAAATTATTCAATTTAAAAACACTTTTCAGTTATTGTGAACTTAGAATATTTTTTCAAATTTAACAGAACTTAGAACAAATTTAAAGTGAATTTTGTTTAAGTGAATCTTTTATTTTAAATTTATTTGTTCATTAAATAATGATGTTTTATTGTTGCTATTATCATGGAAATAAATGTCAATTAATATTTTAAACCTCAAACAATTAAAAATTATTTTATTTTTTTAATAAACCCAAATAAATTTTAATTATTCATTGAATGGTAAATATTTATTGTGAGCTAAAGGTTACAATTACTTCATATTTAAATTAATTTGTTAATAATTTTATTGAACTAAATGTATTGCAACTTTATACATACTGCGTAGCTAGTCATTATGCTTAATGCCTTGTTTTAACGAACATCTTGCCGGCAGACAGTACTAAGAAACTAACGAATATATTTTTAGTGTTGAATTTTTGTCTTGGTGATTATTGTTGCGCGTCCTTTCAATGCATTAGCGCCGGGATACATTATTTATCTTTTTAATCTTTATTCAACTTTATTTATATCATTATACTCTTTACACCCTGACATATTTTGCTATACTTAAACGGGTGTTATTCCGACATTTATTATCTTATCTTATCTTGTATTATTCAATTATATATTCGTAATATTATCCTTTTTATTCTAGCTACAAATCAGCCCTCTAATTTTCTTTTTTTATATTACAAGCACTCACACTTTTTTATCTGAGTTTACATAATTGTACATTATTTTAATCCCTCTAACTTTCATATAAAAATTTCCTTAATTCACTCACCTACTTTATTTTATTTTTGGTTTATTACACATATTAACAATTAGTTACTACCCTTTACTATTTTCACTTCTTGTAGTTGTTGATAAATTCCATGAATTTTATTAATTTTTGGTCATTTTTGAATCGGTTTGTGTTATATAGTCTTTCTAATTTTACTGGAGAAATAAGGGAATTTGTTGTTTTTATTTAAACATTGACAATCAGCTTTAATAGTACTATTTTCTATACATTATTATGAACTCGTCAACAATAGCGGTTGACCTGTATAAACTTTTCCGACGATAATTAGTGATTGTTAATCCCTATACATTTTTTAGTTTTATAATCTTTCATCTTGATTTGTATTTATATTTATTTCAATAAACTAAACTTTGGTATTTTTATACCATAGTTATGTAATTTTTATGAGTTTCTAATGCATACTTATTAATTGGCCAATTAAATAAAACTTAATTTTGAGGTTTTTAGGTAGTTTTTAAGAATCTATATTGAAATTCTAAATAAACTACACAGTATTGTGAAAATGTTTTCATTGTGGTTAAAAATAATTTCACCTTCTATAATTTTTATTTGTAATTATTACATAGAACTATAACACAGTTTTGAATAAAATTTTATTTTTTTATAGTTAAACTCATTTATTTTTCTAAATATATTCATTCGCAAACACGTATTCAAAAGGTTGCATCCCTCCTGAAATATTTTCTTGGATAGCTACCTATTTTTATATTTTAATTTTAGAGATTCATATATGAACCACTAAATTTTACCTAACGTTTTCCTAGAGTATATATATACTATTTAAACTAAGTAAATATTCTATGTAGATATACTTGAAGAAAAATTTGAAATTTTTTAGATATTCATTATTGTATATGTATTTATTAATTTTCTGTTAACAATAAACATAAATGTATAAAAATTATTTATTTCAATTTCAAAATAAATATATTAATCATTTATCTTTTTAGTTAGAAAAATTAACGATAGATGCCGGTTAGATGCCTATCCCCTTGGTAATGTACTTGCCGAAGGGTTGTTCTAATATTGAGGGTGATTACTGCTTATTGTTTAGCGCATGCTCAGATTAGGGTGAAAAACGTCAATAGGATATTCTCATCTGCTCGGTACATCAGCGTCTCTTAGTTCAAACTTTTGTATCATAAAGGTTTGTACAAATATATTAGGGTAAAGTAAAAAGCAATGGCAGAGCCGGAAGTTGAAGATGTAGCGTTCTTAACAGCTATCAATCATTATAGTATGTTTTACAAACTTTTCTTTTTATTGTACTAACATGTATATTTTAAATCATAGGAGAAAATCAAGATATTCTGCACAAACCTGGTATATATGAACATACTGCTGTTACAGCATGTTCGAGGCGCACCGCCTTAATCATGGTCTGCACTACTTTATTCTTTATGTTTATGTGCTCATTGATAATAGCATATGCTGGACCACAAAATGGTAAGTTCATTCTAAATTAATTCTAGTAAGCACTCAAGTATTTGGGTCAAGGATATAAAGTTTTCTTTTAATATTCATTTATTTTAACTATATTTAAAGTTAATAATTTAATTAAAATTAATATTATTTTTTTTTTAATGAAAATAATATTAATGTTCTAAGTAAATAGTTTAAACTTTTAATTAATTTTCTTGTCGTATCACAACCGGCAATATCGTATCAAATAGAGATAAAAAGGGGTGATGTACAACATTTCCACCCACTGCAAATTTATATCAATTATATAAAAATTATATTTTGTTCATTAAACATTATAATTTTTAATATATTTTTTAATAATTCTGTTTTAGATTGTCCATGTATTGGTATAAAACCTGTATTTTTACCAGACGACGATGGAGTTAATCGATCTCGTTCTATTATTCCAATTGCTACAAACGGTGATATTTTTCCATGGAACAACGTGCGTCTACCAACTTTTGCTAGACCTTATAGTTATCATATAAAAATTCATCCAAACTTAACTAGTTTAGATGTTAAAGGTATGTGTTGTTTTATTTTCGTACATTTAACTAACTAAAATTTAAAAACAATATCCTAAATATTTCATCGATAGTTGTTTTTATCATTAAAAAGAAAGTTCTTCTTAATAGTAAATTAGTTCAAGTTCCTTAAATAAAATATGAACTAATTTATATACTAATCGCAATTTTATGACGGCAAAAAATTTTGCTACAGCTCTAAGAAATAATTTGTTTTACAATGTAAAATTCAAATTGAATCATAAAGTTCTCCAATGGCGTAATTAATAATTCATTAGAGAGATAATTTGTACTACCCTTTCTAAACGAAAAACAATTGTAACTTCACCATGTAATAATTACATATCCCCTTCTATTACAAAAATAATTATTATTTTTGTAATAGAAGGGGATATGACGCCCCATATTAACTATTCGTAATTAGTTACTTAACATTGAAGTTTTCAGATTATTAATATACTTCAAATATTTTACCAGACTTAGTATTAAATTATTCAAGTATTTTTATTATATTTGTGACTGATATAAATGATTGTTGTTTTTTATTAATTAACAGGACAAGTTCTTATTAATTTTCGACTCACACATGATACTGATTACATCGTTTTTCATAGCAAAAATCTTACTATAGTTGATAGAGTAAGTATTTTTATATAATTATTGTGTTTTAAATTTGTTCAAATAAAACACAAGTAACATTTAACTTCCTATTCAGAATACATTTTTATTTAATTAATAAGTTACTTTTGTCTATAGCACGTGATGTTGGCAGATAATCATGATGTACGTTTTGAAATCTCTAGAATGCTCGAATATTCAGCTGGTCAACAAATAATATTAGAGTTTGACGATACTTTATCCGCAACAAATAATTACACTTTGTTAGTCAAGTACACGACTAGATTAAGTAGAGAATTAGAAGGATTTTACTTAAGTAGTTATACTACGAGTAAAGGAGAAAGGAGGTAAGTACTTTCAAGTAGTAATAAAAAACATGTATAATGGTGTTTTGATAAAATATCCTCATACGCATATCTCAAAAAAGTGTATAAAAATAAAAAAAAGAACTTCACAAATCTCATTTTACATTAATGCAAAACGACTGGTTTTTTATAATTATAAAAAGTTCGTCACTTCACTAAAAGTTATACTATCCAATTATATATTTTGTTNAATTATAAAAAGTTCGTCACTTCACTAAAAGTTATACTATCCAATTATATATTTTGTTCTATCAATTATATTTTTTTTTTTTACCAATAAAATTAAATATTATTTTATAAATCTTTAAATTTCAAAAATTCTTGTCATGATTTATAGCATAGAATATTAATTTTATACTATTCAATTTTTTTTTTTGGATGATATATGTTATCTTTATAAAAGTATACAAATGAGTTAGTAATATCTGTAATTTCTATTAAATCATCTAATTGGCTGAACGGCATATTACACAATTGGTACTGTGTACCCTCCGAAATACCACTGATATTACACAATTGTAACGATTTTTAATTTTAAAATTAACTCAAAAGGTACTTAGCTACAACTCATTTTGAACCCACGTACGCACGTTCAGCTTTCCCTTGTTTTGATGAACCACAATTTAAAGCAAAGTTTCGAATGTCAATTTTAAGAAATAGATTTCATATAGCACTTTTTAATATGCCTATTAAAGAGTCTGTAGACGATGGATTGTACATGGGAGTAGGATTGGTAAGTTATTTAATTAAATATAGCTTTAAAATGACATAATTTATAAAATAATTTTAATAGATGAGAGACGATTTTGAAGAATCCGTTGAAATGAGTACTTATCTCGTAGCGTTTGTAGTTTGTGATTACCATTATGTACACGCTCAAACTTCACAAGGAGTTGCAGTTCGGGTGTACGCTCCGCCTGAATTGCTATCTCAAACATCTTTTGCTTTGAATACTGCCACTAAAGTAATGGATCACTACACGGAATTTTTTGGAGTACCTTATCCATTACCAAAACAAGGTAGTTGCGTAATACATTTAGGCACTATAAATTATAAATTAGTTACATTTATATTTGCAAAATTTAAACTATATATTTTTTATAATTAGATTTGATAGCCATACCAGATTTTGGTGCTGGTGCTATGGAAAATTGGGGACTAATAACGTACCGTGAAACTTCAATATTGTATGATGAAAAAGAGACATCAGCCGCTGCTCATCAATGGGTAGCAGTAGTCGTGGCTCATGAGTTAGCTCATCAGTGGTTTGGTAACTTGGTAACGATGCGTTGGTGGAATGATTTATGGTTAAATGAGGGTTTTGCTAGTTTTTTGGAATATCGCGGGGTAGAACATGTAATGCCTGGATGGTTAATGATGGCTCAATTTGTGTTGGATAAAACTCAACAAGGTTTGCGGTTAGATGCATTATCTACTTCACATCCGATAAGCGTCAGTGTTCATGACCCAGTAGAAATTGAAGCTATATTCGATTCAATATCATATAGTAAGGTTAGTAGAAATAGAACCCTTCAATTATTTAATTTTAAGAGACATTATGAAAGATTGAATGTTATTAATCTAATTAATTATAGGGTGCTGCAATTTTATACATGTTAGAAAAGTTTCTTGGTCTAGATACTCTACGCAGTGGGTTAAATGATTACCTAAATACACATAAGTATGGTAACGCAGACACAAAAGACTTATGGAGTGTACTTAGTAAACACGCCAATGAAACCGTTCAAGTTAAGGTATAAGTAATAAAAAATAATCAATAAATAAAATAACCGTTGGATTTGTTTTAGTCGATCATGGATACATGGACACGACAAATGGGATTCCCAGTGATAAAAATATCTCGTGAAATTAGTTGGACGACCAAAAATGCGGTATCATTCACAGCCATGCAAAGTCGCTTTCTATTGACTGCTGAAATATCAAACAAAGTGAAAAACAGAGCAGAACCATCACCTTATGATTATAAATGGTTCGTGCCCTTGAGCTTTTACACAGATATCACAAGTTATAGAGAACAGGAAGTTGTTTGGATGAACATGACCGACGGTTTGTATTAAACATAAAAATAAATAAACTAGATGACAATGTAATACATTCTAATGCTTTTTATTTATATGGATTATCTATATATTTGCAGTAAGATTTGAAGTAGATCATAAAGTAAAATGGCTAAAAGCTAACGTAAACCAGTCTGGATTTTACCGTGTTAATTATGACGATGGATTATGGAATGAAATTATTGGCCAGCTAAAAATGAACCATGAAATTTTTAGTGCTGCTGATAGAGCATCCTTAATCGATGACGTATTTACATTGTGTAGAGCTGGTATTTTAAACGTAACATTTCCTTTAGAATTGTCAAAATATCTTTACAAAGAAAGAGAATTTGTTCCATGGGCTACAGCGCTAGAACATTTTCAAAATTGGAGTAAATACTTGTCTGAATCATCACCTTATAGAATGTTTTTGGACTATATGAAAAGTTTACTTGGGCCAGTTGCGCGATCAGTAGGTTGGGAGGACCAAGGAACACATTTAGAGAAGTAAAATGAATACTTATTTACATTAAACATTATTTATATTTATTTCGTTATTTTTTTAAAAAGGTTAATGAGATCAGATATATTAGCTTCGGCTGTTTTAAGTGGAATTCAAGATATCGTAAAAGACGCAAAAAGTAAATTTGACGAGTGGATGTACGAAAACAAACGAATACCACCAAACTTAAGAGAAGTTATTTATTTAGCTGGTAATATAAAAAAAAATATACAAAAATTATATATTTATTTAATTGCAAATTCTATTTAGGAATAAGACATGGGGATGTTAAAGAGTGGAATTTCTGTTGGGATAAGTATAATCAAAGTCGAGTACCAAGTGAACGTAAATTGTTGCTAAAAATTCTGGGTGCTTCAAATGATCCTTGGCTATTACAACGGTAAACATTAATAATGTAGATAATAAATATTTATTCAATCATTTTTTCCATTAAAATTTTTATAGTTACCTAACAACCACGTTAGATCCTACAAAAGTAAAAGCTCAAGATGTAAAAATGGTGTTAGGAGTTGTAGCTTCACAAGGGCCACAAGGTCAATTATTGGCATGGCGTCATCTAAAAGCTAATTGGGATAATTTACAAGTACTTTTCGGAAACGGCACATTCACTATGGGTGGACTTATTACAGCAGTCACTTCTCATTTTTCAACAGAATACGATTTTAAAGAAGTTTCAGACTTTTTCCGCAATATTGATGTAGGATCTGGTACAAGAGCATTAGAACAAAGTTTGGAAATGATCCAATTAAATGTTCACTGGGTTAAAAAAAACGAGGATCAAATTTATAATTGGTTATTACGCAACGAAAAAGCCTAAACGAAATAATAATTTATAATATTTTAAATATGTATTTGGTACTGATTGATTTAATATGTTAAGTTAAATGCTTAAGACTGATAAGGAAATGACGAGATAAAAAAAAAGATTAATTGATTCCGTTATTTGGTTATTGAATTGAATGGACTGATGGATCGATTTTATAGGTATTCAATTTTTATGCTTCCAGTAATAAAAAAATTATCAAACTAAACTTTTTTTACCTTAATCAATACTTTATAGTGTTATGTATGTATAAATTAGTAAAATTTAATTTCTTGTCTTACTGAAATATTGATTGTATTTTCGAATTTCAGGGTTAATATATTAATCGTAATATATGTAACATATAAGTTACAATATAAAAATATACATGTAATATATTTTATATCTATGAAAGATTAAATTTGTGTTTACAGGGTTACTATGTATGACAGTAGCATAAATTCTAAATTTTCTTACACATAATACGCATTATATTTTTATTAGCCTTGTAATTATCAAACTATATTTGCTATCATAAAAAAATCTATCATCGATGTTAAGTTGTACGAGTCAAATAAACTATAAATTAAATACTGTTTTAAATTTATTGTGCTCCATTAATAAAATATAAAAAAATAAGGCATGAATACCTAGCTAGTGGGTATCACTAGGTTACAAACTATAGCTTATAAACCAACGGTGCCCATTATGTGGCCATAAGCTACTTTTTCTTTAGCAATCATCACTAAGGTTGGTTTTACAGCACTCTTTTTCCATACTCTCTTCATTTTTTCCTATTACTTGTCATTCTTTTTAGTTGCCTGTAGGTTCTTAGTCCGACATTTTTAATAACTTTATTGGTTATTGTTGTTTTTATCAGTACTCTGCCTCTCCTACTTTCTATTTTTTCTTTCAAAATTTTAGTTGTGTTTTCTGACATATCATAAACCTTAGTTTTTTCCAGATTATCTTTAGATCATATTCTTCAAAACACTTCTGCATTACTTTTAATGAAATTTCCATCTCTTTTTTTGTTTTTGGTTATTAGATCAATGTCGTTTGTAAATCTAAGCATTTGTAACAGTTCTCTTTCAACTGCCGCTTCTATTTTTCGTCTATTGAGTTTTTCCTTTATTTCTTAAATAGTTTGAACAATATATACATTAAACATTAGTGACATAGGACACCACTGTTTAGTGCCTTTCCATATTTTGCTATTGCTAACTAGTCTTCTATTCTTATATCTGCTGCCTGTTAAAATTGAATATTAATTGCCTTTTCTTAAAATACGCTCTTACTTGTTGTAGAGTCCAGAATAACTTTTGACAGTTATAAAATGCCTTTTCTAGGTCTACAATGAAAATTAGCGTGTTCTTATCCAGTTTTATCTGGTTCTTTATTAGTATTCTAAGATTTAATATTGCTTCTATCCTTCCCTTATTCTTTCAAAAGCTATTCTGGTCTCACCCAAATTGATTTTTGATTTTCCTTTCCATTCTTTTACATATTATATTTACTATTTTTTTTGCTACATGTGGCAACAAAAAAAGACTGAATTTACGGAAATAAAAATGTGCGGTCTGCATCAAAACTTATTTATAAATTCTAATATTAATTTATAAAACAAAATACTTTTACGAGAATAAAAACGGTTTTATATTTAAAGAAATGTTCATTTATTAAATTATAATAGTTTTTTTGTTATGATTGTAGTACGCATGAATTTTTCAAAGTTTTATCTGATCTTTTTTAGGGTTCTATTGAAGATTACTGCTGTGTCTGGTTTCGTGTGCATTCAATTTCAATAATTTTATTTTTTTTAAAACTTATAATTGAAATGAATTTCCTATAAAAATATCGTATTAGCATATTTAAGCAAAAATATTAACCATTAATACAAAACAAATATGATAGCGCAATATATCTTTACAGAAAAAGTTTGTAAGTTTCTTATGCACACATATGGCACACTTGTACAGTGGCGTATGAACAAGGGCTAAAGAACTTTATTGTCCGTGTTAAATTAATATTATAGGTAAAAAATTAACTTAATAAAAGTCTAAATTCTAAAAGTCTAAAACTAACTTAATAAAAGTCTAGTAAAATTAAATTTTTTTATAATCTTTCATTAAAAAATTCTGGGTATGAAACTGCACATGCGTCATCAAAAGGAAAATAATGAAAAACATGGTTTTATGTATCACAGTATTTATCATATATAATTCAAATAATTCTTATACATATACATTTTAACATAAATAATAACAATAATTTTCGCCGTATAAACCAAAAATCATTATAATTTACAAAAGCAAGAGAAAACAATAAATTTCCCAAAAATATATGAACAATAATTATTTTTAAAGTAAGTTTGAACATAGTGTAAAACGTAGCAAAAAAATATTGCATGGGGAATGAATTTAAAGTTTGCTATGAATTGCTTTCTGATAATTCTGAGTCAATTTCTAAATATGCAATAATAATATGTATTAAGATTTTGATAAATGAATAATTATTGAATATATTTCTACTTACCAAAAAACTCATTCCACACACTAAGTGCCAATTCGTTTACATGCATACATTTATCTAAAATCAATGTTTCAAATACAGTTTTGGCATCATTAATTAGTTTACTATCAAGTTTACTGTAAAAAAAAATATTTAAATTTTATGAATACCCTAAAAAAATTGCTATGATCGTACTCTACGAGAAGTGGCATCATCATATGAAGTACTTTGATAACAGTAAAACGCAAGTTTGGATTTTCGTCCGAATGAAGGTGTATTACACAAGGAAACAATTTTTCCAAAGTCGACCATTCACATATATCATAAAATGCCTGATGTTTTTTAATGTTATATTTATATTTTATACAATAACAAATTATATAAAAAATATACTTAAATTGAAAAAACTTACTTTTAATTAAATAGTAGGTACTACTATCGAGTAAAGACACCAGAGCTAAGGGTTGAGCTGAGTAACGGGTTTTTAGAGGATTAAATACAAAAAATTGAAATATATTAATAATTTTGATCGTTATTTGGCTTTAATGACGACGTGAAAATTATAGTTACGTTGGACTCCGCGGTTTTGAAATTGTAATATTATTGATGTCCCCACAAAATTTGTAATTTATTTTGCCCATGGTCCCACAAATGCTTGTGCCGTCACTGTTTGGTTTTATCAAATACAAGTAAAATTTCTTTAGCTTAATAATATTAACTCTTAGATTGGAAAATTATTAAAACTATCTGTAAATTTATGAATCCTAACATTTAAGTACTTAAAACACTTCATTAAAAGCTAAATTTCTCAACTTTTTATTGGTTTATGTTCGGGTTAAAATTATTTTCATACTTCAAATATAAGTTTTAGTCCTAATTAATAAAAATTTAATCATAGCCCAAAGGCGTTTTTAGAATTTTGTCTATGGGGGATGTATAATATAAGATATTGTTTTTACCATCCCTCCAAATTTCACGATACTTTCGTATTTTAAATATTAAGAAGAACTGTTTTTTTAAGTTCAGTCCCAGTCCTGGGATTACCTTACGATTTGGCAAGTTTTTATACTGGCTGCCGACCTAACGCAACTTCATTAACTGTTAAAGTTCCCGTGTGATCACCCATCCGGGAATTTACAATAATCAGCGCAGTTGAACATCAGCGTTAAAGCAGTGACTGATGATCCAGTGTCACACCACGTTCCTGCTAACGTGACACAAGTAAGAGATAATATAAATATTTTTCGTTTTATTCAGATGATATTTTTTTCATTGACAAATTTCTTATACGAAGGTTTTCAACTTTTTCAGAAATACGATTTATTAAAAGGGATTTTTACATTATATGGAATTAGATAGTCTCAATCAACACAACCCTTAATTTTACTATTGAAGAATAGCGATAAACACTTTGAAAAAATAACAAATACAACTAGCAAATAATAAAAAGTGAAATTTCATCTTTTAAATAAATATTGGGTCCATATGGATAATTTTTATTACATTTTCTACAATTTTATAAATACGAAATCCAAATCATTGTCAAATTTTATGGTGAAATACAATACTTTAGACAATTTTTCTTGATTAATTTCAAAGAGTTTTTAAGTATGTTTTATTAATTTAAAGAATGTAACACTTACTTTAACGAATGATAAAAATGCCATTTTGTTGTAAGTATTCTTAGAATAAGACAAATCAATTATAAATGGAATTATTGAAGACAGTGCCCAATTCATTCCAAATTCTCTTATTAACATTTTAAGAACTTCCATCGTAGTATTTTGAACAACTGATTCTAAAAAAGACTTTAATGTTTGTTTAATTTTTATGACATCACAAATTAATACCTTACTTGCATCAACTAAAAGAATAAAAAATGCTTGTTTTAAATATTCTTCGAAGAATGACTTGCCCATTTGGACTGCTAACGTTCCCAAATACATAGCTCCTGTGTTACGCATTTCCCACGAATCATTAATTATAAATGCTTTTAAAGAACAAATTAATCGGTCTTCTGGAATGGTTAGCTTGTCCTAATGTAACATGTAAGAAAATTATTCATATATGATGGCAATCATACGTATAATATTTTTAGAGCTATTCTTATAAAACTTCTAAATTCTATTAGTACTTTATTATCACTTTTAATATATAATGATGATCAAATATACAGGGTGATTTTTTTATCATAACCCACTCAATTACTTACAGAATAATAATAATTTAAACATTTTTTTTTTTCATTATTTTTAGTTACACATTATTCTTGAATTTTTAACTATGTAATACTTTTTAAGTTCATCCCTTATGCCTTGGAAGGGGGTCAACTTTGTTTTTTTAAATGGTAACACATATTTTTAATTTAATAAAATGTTTGAGTTTTTAATTTAATAGTAAATGGCATTTGAATTTTTAATATAACTTAATTCGTTTATTAGATATAATCATTTAAAGTTTCAAATTTTTGAATTAATATACAGGTATAATACACAAGGGATTACAAATACAGGTAGCTAATTGGTTTTTTATAACATCGATATTAGCAGGTACACAGCATTGTTATTATCAATTGTAGTAAGGCACATTGTTATGAGTTTATAAATACACTAACTGACAATACAGAAAGTATATCTATTGATAATCATAATTGATAATAAACAATCCGTGACTGAGACAGCAATGTCATAAAAATCCAATTAGCTACCTGTATTTACAATCCCATGTGTATTATACATGTATATTAACTCAAAATTTTGAAACTTTAAATGTTTATATCTAATAAGCTAATAAAGTTATATTAAAAATTCAAATGCCATTTACTATTAAATTAAAAACTCAAACATTTTATTAAATTAAAAATATGTATTACCATTTAAAAAAACAAAGTTTACCCCCCTCCAAGGCATAAGGGATGAACTTAAAAAGTATTACATAGTTAATAATTCAAGAATAATGTGTAACTAAAGATAATAAAAAAAAAAAATGTTTAAATTATTATTATTCTGTAAGTAATTGAGTGGGTTATGATAAAAAAATCACCCTGTATATTAATTTAATTATTTTGCCATGTACATAATTTTAGGTACCATTATTTTAGTTAATGTTCTTAAGCTGCTAATTGCAGAATATGAATAAAAAAAATAAAACGCTATTACTTTCAATTTACTGTATTTTTTAGGATTTTTTAATAATATTAATCGAATGACCTATTATATAATTATAGCATTTTAAGTTAAATAAAAAATTATTAAAAATAAATTTGTTTCTTCTACTTTTAGATTTTTATTAAAATTATTATTTAGAGGTTTATTATAATATTTTTTTCAATAAGTATGTGCTTACATAATAATTCATTCCGAGTATATCTTTCATGTATTTAACCACGTTAAACACAAAGTCAATATTTTTATCTTCAAGCAATTCTTTGATTAATTCAATAAGATAATCTTTAACGCTAAAAATAAGAAAATTATAAAACTTTTAATTTAATATTTCAAGTATATTTTATACTTAAAAAAATAAGAACATTCATTTTAAAAAATGTTAGTATTTTTATGAGTTTTATTCATTGGTGATCTAGTAGTGTTATATATGAATAGCTTACAGTTCAGGAGAAATTATTTTTCCGAATTTAGCTAATACCACTGGTACTTCCATTCTACATCTTAAAACACAGTCTTGACTTAAACTGCGAAGAGTTGGGATTAAATAATTAATTATTATTTGATCAGCTTCTTCCATCGAAAGTTCTTTGTATAAAACGACAGTACAATCATAAATAATAGCTATAGATCGAAATCGAACTTCTGATTGACAATCATTAGTTAATTTCATAAACATTTGAAAAATTAATTCTCTTAATTGTTTGCATTTCACTCCGAAAGCTTCAAGCATCTTAAAAGTTTTATAAATAATATCATAGTAATATTTTATAATTCGCGGTTATGCGTGAAAAGGGAGATAAGTTGACTTATTCCCAAAATGAGTTATATACAAATTAGACATTTTAATTATCTAAAGTTGGGTTAAAAAAAAAATATTTATCATAATTGTACTTACTGGATGTATAATGGGATAAGTCATAAAAAATATTTATTATGTGGAATTAAATGCGATTTTTTTATTTATTGACATATATCAATACATCTGTAATTATGATGTTAAAAGTTGTTAATTAAATATTTATAATCACAAAAAAATTTAAATGTTAGTTTTATATTCCTGAAAAATTGATAATTTTAACTTATCCCTCTTTTCACGTGCAATCGTGAATAGTAATTCGTTGTTTGGTTGAGTTGGTTCTAAGTCAATACATTAGACAATTAGTTGGGCTTTGCTACCTTAGATATATTTTTAACAAGTGTTAACCGTACACTCCATGATCTATCTTTGATGGAGTTCAATATTATTGGATAAATATAACGTTCTATAAAAACTGTATCAAGATGTTGTGATATTGAAATAGTTGTTGATAGAGCTAATGTTCTTACATGTTCCTTTATTAAAAATTTGATTTTTAGGACTTAAATAATAACATAATTATAAACTAAAAAGTTTTCTTACATTTTGGTCAATACTAAATTGTTTAAGTCGTGGGATTATTTTTGTATCGATAACTGGAAATTGAACTACTTCACTTAATTTAGCTAAACATTTTGCTGCATCTTGCCGCACTGATGGAAGTGTGTCCAAACACAAGCATGTGTAATATTCCACTAAATTATCTACGGAACAGAGTTAAAAAATATTTTTAGATAATCATGGACCTTTTAATATACTACCACATATTTACCATGGTATATTGGATTAACACGTAAATATACGGTAGAAAATAAATGACATACTGACCATCTTTTCGCACATTGTTCATTAAATGTCATATTAGCTATTAATGGAATAAAATGTGTCTCTACTTCGTGAACTTCCATGATATCAGCTAATGTCAATAAAGAATTCACCGCCGTCATTCTAACGTCACACGATTTTGATCCAGCTAATTCTTTTAATGGAGGCTTAGAAAAGATATAATTAATTTCTACGTTAGTTTTAAGTTAATGTACAAATTAATAATGTGCTATCTCCTAACGGGACCCACAATAAATTTTTTATGGAGATAGTTAATTAAAAAAAACATATCACAGTAAAATTAATCCTTTCTCAGCTTCGCTTCGAAGATAATAAGGTCACCCATCACTAAAATTCAAGAATAATTATTAATTTTGAGTGAGAAATACTATCAGTCAATCGTCTCCCATTAAATCATAATTTCCAATATTCTTTTTGTGATGTAGTAAAAATTGATAAAAAATAAAAAAATTAAGCCAAATAGTATTTTTTTTTAATTTTTATAAAATATATTTTTATTTTGATAAATTTCGTTTAGATATTAATAGTTTGTCAGTAAGTAACTTAATTATTAAATAACTTGATTTGAGTTAGTATTTAATTGAAGCACTAAATTAATTTTAGTTAACTTACAATTAAAATAACAGCAAAATTAAATGTAGCTTACCAACAAAATATAAGCATATCTTGGTCCTCCAACTTTACATTCAAAATCGCCTAAGATAGAAGCTAATTCTTTCAATTCTGTTAGTTTTCCGGCGATAATACAATTAGTTAAAAACGGAATTAAACATTTACGAGTTTTTTTGGCGCCAAGTTTGTCAGCAATTGATATTATATTTTTGCTAATATCTAAAACTGAGTAGCCCTTAATGAAATTATAAAATATTATATCAAGTTAAAGTTTATAGATATATTTAGAATTCCCAAGTTTGTCTCACTTCTAGGAAATCACAATTTGAAGAGCTTTCATAAGATTGAATGTACGAGAGGTTATCATCAGAAATACATGAGTCGTCGCTAGTTTCAGCTGATTCCCAATTATCTACTAGATCTGACATTATTTTTCAACAATTTCTCGAATATAACAATTAAAATACATTCGAAACATTAGCAAAGAAAAATTGATACGAGAAATCAGTTAAAGTTTTTAATATAATATTGTTTATGATGTTGTGCATAATACACGGATGTCTGATTGAATAGTTTTGTCATCGATGCTCTCGAAATTTATAAAATAAAACTAAATTTTCCATGAAAATTTCGATTAATTTGATTGAAATATATTATATTGTAATCAAATTAATCGACACTTCAAGTGACAAGTGCACTGAATTAAACAAAATAATGACTACAATAATAATAGTCAATTGTAATATTTATTTATACATATTTTTTTTAACGAAGAATAGATTTATGGTTTTAGAACTTTTATTTCTTTTTAATATTTTGAACAAATTTTATTTATTTATTTCTATTATTTTTCTAAAATTTATTAGGCGAGGTAATTAATGTTTTCAGTATTTCTATTTTTTAGCATTGTTTCTATCGATTTATCAATTTAATACAAAAACTTATATAAACTTGTTATGTTAAAAATTATAAATATATATAAATTCTGTGACTCCCTTATTTATTTTAACGAAATTTCCTAATTTACTATACATAACCTTAAATTCACTTAAAATATTAATGAAAGAATATCATTGGCAATGGCATGTGATAATAGTTTGAAACAATTTTATTCTTATCAGTTAAAAAATACACTAAAATTAATTTGACATTCTGTTATCTGCAAGACTTTAGTTTGTTCCAATGTATAAACATTTAAATTATTCAATGATATGGCAAAATATATAGTTCAAATTGTAGTTCTTGGTGCTCAAATTGTAGGTAAAGCTTTTACTAAAGCGATCAAGCAGGAATACGCCGCAAGCCAAGAAGCTGCTCGTAGAGCTGGCGGTGGTCGTGCAGGTGCTGCACATGCTGCAGCTAATGCTAGAGCCGGTATAAGTCTTGAAGAGGCAAAACAAATTTTGAATGTTAAAGGTATTGTGAATTATTTACAAGAATTTTAACATTAAGAATTTGGTATAAGATGCACACAATGGACTTACAGGTCTGAAGGCATGGGAATTTTTTGCACACCTTAACAAATATAAAAAAACTAAAATTAAAAACAGAGTATTTCCAGAAATACTCTTAAAAATTTATATTTTGGAAGTTATAATTTTAAACATTTAAGTATTTATAATGTATCTCCTCTTCCAAATATCTGGGATAAGCCAAGCCAAATTAAACATATATTTTTTATTTATCAATTTTTGTAGTATTTTATTGGTAAAATACATCACAATTAATAATAGATATTTAAGTTTTTAAAAGTATATTTAATTAACCTTTCAAATTTAAATTTTAAAGTTGAAAAGAAATAAAAAATAACTTAATATTTATTATTTAAATAGCAATCAGCAACTTATGACTTTTTCAAAAATTATTATATACATATCATTATTTATAGTCTATACAATAGATATAATAAGTAAAAGTATCTATGTGTATGAAAATAATATAAATTACATGAATGGATAGCTTACATTAGAGCCCCCATAGACTTGTGACTTCATGGAATATGTATTTTAGATGTACATAGATTTTCATACGACTTTAGTTTGTACACTTTATTTTAGAAAATTAAACATTATATTTATGAGTAATAGGTATATAATTTATAAACCTAATTTAATTATGTTGTTGGTTATTTAAAAAAATAAAATCTAATATATTGATAGAAACAATACATAAAATAGAAACGCTGAAAACATTAATGTTGACTAGAGTAAATAGGATAAAGAATGAACATATGAGATGGAGCATAGGTGTAGCGTCAATCATAAATAATATGAGAGAAAATAGACTTAGATATGGATTGATCATGTTTACAAGGAGAGAGAAAGTGGAATCTGTAAGAACAGGTAAAGGAATGAATGTTGAAGGAAGACCAAAAAAGAAATAGAGGGATGTAATTGAATGTGATATAGGGGTAGATGATGTGGGAAATATCGTGTCAAGAGGAAGTTTAGGATAAAGGTGGCCGACTCTAAGTAGTTGGGATTAAGGCAAAGAAAATCTAATATATTAAATTTACAAAAAATGTTTGTTTAAATCTCAATTAAATTTTCTTTTATGCTTTTTTAATTCATTAATTATCAACTTTCCCCAATAAAGAGGTTTCTTAACCATGGATACCCTAGGATGAAACGTTATTCTGTTTAGTATGACTTTAGAAAATAATTTGTTTTAACAATTATCATATAATTATATTTTTTGTATGCAAATTGTCCATTTAAATAAATATAATACGTAAAATAGTTTTGACTATTATAATTCAAGGGTAAATAAGGAATTTTGTCTTGTGGCAATTCAAAAATGATTTTTTTGTTATCAAAAAGAACATATATATTTTAATTTTTTGTCATTGGGATATATCCCATTGCCCTCTTATAGCTCTACATGTATACACCCATGCAATTGTAATATAAAATATATATTAATTATTCATTTTATTATTTTAAAGGAATGACTCCAGAAGAAGTTGAAAAACGATATGAATATTTATTTGGAATTAATGATAAAACAAAAGGTGGCTCATTCTATTTACAATCAAAAATTTTTAGAGCTAAAGAAAGACTTGATAAGGAGTTGTCAATAAAAAAAGAAAAAACTTAGCTAACTTAAAAAACACAAATTGATATTTTGTAAATTTAGTTGTTATTTTTTAAAATTATGTTATTTTTTGTTATTGTTATGAGTAACAAAATGGAAACAACAAAAAGTGTTTGTAAAATATAGTTATATTTCTTAATTTACTCACATGTCTTAGTATTTACTTAAAACTTATAATTGAAAGTTTGATGTTTCCTTTGTGCAGTAAAACTGCTTTCAGACTTAGTTTATTGATATCAAAAAACAAACGCCATTCGGTTGGATCATATGGCTCACCAAATTCTTTAAACAAACCGTAAATGTCGTTACAATAACAAACATTGTTTTTTTTTTTATATAATATTGAGCATAATATTTCTGACGACTTCGGTAAAATGAAACTTTTACTTGTGATTTTAATCAATTTTATTCTTGCAATCTTGACGCCAATAACTCTGATTTTTCCTTTGAGAGTTTCAAATGTCTTATTAAATCATTAAGTTCAGTTTGGGTAAAAAGCTTCGGAATTTTTTCATGTTGAAAACTTATGTCAGTCTTACACTCGGCATGATTACTTGGTTCGGGCGATTCACTATATTCTTTTTTCCTTTTGGAAAAACAGGATATTTAACTGAGAGTAAATGTGGAACTGGTTTTGACATGATGTTTGCATTTTAGGAAATTTGTTTTATTTTTCAATCGCGCATAACTTATTCATTTTTTTATCAATTTTACAAAATAATATATCATTTTCTTTGTTATGTATTAGAGTATGACGTCTATTGAAATTATTGTTGATAAATTTATTTTTTATTGGTGTATTTTACGTAAAACTTTGAATTTTTTCTGACA